TTTTTTTTTTTTTACCGTCCGTGTGTTCTTACTTCTTTTCTACCGTAGGAAAGGGAGATACGAGGGGGATTATTCATGCGTTTTCGTTCTTTTTTTTCTCAAGTTCTTTTTTTTGTTTCCGCAGGAAGGAGAAAAAGTAAGGGGTGTTCACACATCTTCAGTTTTCCTTCCAAACAAGCTTGTTGGTCTTCCTTATTTCTTCCTCCTCGCTCCTCCCCTTCACTCCTCCTCCACGCCAGCCGCGCGCCCCCTCACCTCTGCCGGAACACTTTGGCCCCATCCCACGCAGAAAGAGTGAAAAAGAGGAAAAGAAAAACGATGTGGAAAAGGACCGAAAAAATAAGATGGTAAGTACGTAAGTGTTGCACATACACGCATTCATGCCATCTCAGGGGCCACTATTTTGCCTGAGTCTATTAACGTCTCCATGCTTCTCCGGTGCCTACACAGATAGGCGCATGGTCCGTTCATCTTCCTCTTATCACCACAAATACTGGTCAAAATTCAAAATGAGTAGGGGCAAATACAGAATTGTTCAATAACGCATAAAAGAACAACCACACACACGGACAAACAAACAACAAAAAACAGTGAAAACGTTTGCTCGGGCAACCATATCCGCCAGTGGTGCTTTTACAATGTTCCCCAACAATATATATATATATATATATATATATTCCTTAGTGACTTCACTTCCCTCCTTCCTTCTCAATCGGCAATTACATCTTGCCGATCAAAACCTTACACACCTGCAGCTACACCGAGCGCTGCTGAAATACCAAAAAACACAAGTCAAAGAAATAACAAAAAGACGCGACAACAAAAAATAGGGCAATGCATTTGGGAGAAACGAACCGAAGGAGAAGCAAGAGCCGCAAATATATATATATATATATATTTGTTCTTTTTTGTGTTATTTATTTATTTTTTGGTTTACCCCTGAGAGAAGAAGCAGCGGAATGAATGGGGAAGGGCGACATGCCCCTTCCATAAGCACACCGCTCATGCACCCCTCCCCTAACGTGGTATCACAACACAAAAAAAAACACCTATAAATAAAAATATACACGTTTTCTTCCCAATCATACTTGGGCATCATACCGGTATGTATTTATTTTCCTTCCCGCGGCCTCCCTCCCTCGACGTCATCCGCTCTCCGCCGCATTCCCAAGTGTGTGCGTGTGTGTAAGTCGGTGGGCAGGGAACGAAATTATGCTAGGGTTTCATTGTCAACAGCAAGCGTGAAAAAATAGAAAAACATTCAAAAGCCACAAATTACGGACAGACACATCAGAATGGGGGAAAAAAAAATACAGAAACCCCAACAGCCCCCCAAAACCAAACCCGTATCCCCTTTCCACCCCTTTCCACAACACACAAACACATGCGCGAAAATGCAACCTTTAAAACAATTTGACCGACTGAAGAATCCCGTATTTCTGCATTCACCTCTTCTTCAAAAAGAGCCCTCCCCCAAGGCACGAGTGAGTGGGCTATGAGAGCATGAGCGCCTTGAGTGCCACCCGAGACAAAGTAGACAAAACGAAATAAAAATTGTCGAAAAAACAAAAAAAAACGCTACAATTCAACTGCGCAACAATAATAAGACAACAGTATCAGCAAAAAACTCTGACTTACTTCACCTACAAAGGTCTACAACATTATGGAAGAAAGTGTGAAGCAAAATATACGGACCACAGGAGTCTCCTAATTTTTCCTTCGTTTTCGGGTGTGTATTTGCCGACATAATTTACGAGCAAACGAAGAAAAACAAATAAAAGGGAAGTGACGGAAAAAAAAAAAAAGAAAAAAAAGACTGCCAAACACAAAAACACAGGAGGAGAGTCTCCTCCGTGGTTCTTCATGCAGGAAGTGATGTAGCACGGTATGGGTTGTGCTGCCAATGGCGCTTCGAACCAGCTCCACCCGTAACTGCAGGAAGGTCCAAAACACCGTCTGGTGACGACGGTGAGAGCTCCTCATCCCAAGGTGGGCGATCAGCGTCCATTTCAACATCACTTTCAAACAAGGCTGGCAAATTTTTAATACTTGATGATGCATTCTGCGCATTTCCAGAGAGTGACCTTTCTGCGACCAGTAATTGTGTCTCTAATGTGTGTGAGGCAGTAATAAGCGCATTCTCTGGAAACGACAGACCCTGCACACTACCCTCCAGAGTTGGTGCACAGAAACTTCCATTTGGCGTCGCTGAGGCAGGACTTGATGGTCGTCTATAGTGAGCCATCATTACGGCCTTTGTTCCTCTTGCCGCTGTTGCTCCTGAAATTTTGGGTGAGGGATCCATAGGCCATGATGACGACGCCGATGCCTCCCACGTGTTCTTAGAAGCAAATAAAGAGATCTGTAAAGGCGCATTGTTCGACACAGGTTCGCTTATGGAGCAGCGCAGTGGATACCCTCGAAGCTGCTGCTGCCGTGACATGGAAGTAAAGACAGATTTATTTTGTTGGCCCCTGGAATCTGGCTTGGCGTCCCCAGCGCCTTGAGAAGTACAGAAGGAACTTGTCAATTCCTTGCACAAATGCAAAAATCTGCAGTCGTCCGCATATCGGCAACGGTCAAAAATATGTAAACGACATATAGATTGATCACCTGCATTTAGCACCAAAAAAGACCCCTCCGCTCGCAAATCAGATCCGCTACAAATTTCTTTGTCGTCATTCTCTAGCATCAAACGATCCGGTTTCTCCTTCAGTACACGTCGCAAAGCCGGAGTGTAACTGAGACGATTCAATGGAACATAGCCACCCTCAAAGCTTACTTCAGGGATGTATAGCACCACCTTTGAAAGCCATGAGCGCTCATTCAGCACACCAGCGATGTCATCGTCACCGTGAAATGAGCAACACCGCGGAAGATTCCCCACGTGACCTCGCAGTACCACAACCGTATCCACGTTCGCATGAACCTGGTGACACAGAGTGCCTTGGCGGCACCGACCTTGAAGAAAGAGCTGGCACAAGCTTGGAATTGTGGCACGTTGCTGTGCCCGTGTGGGGTATATGCAGTTGCATGGGATCAGAAGCTTTCGGGTGGCAGGGTCCACGACCACCATGCAAAGTGTGCCATCCAAACGTTTGGTGAGGTGCCTACTTACGCCCACGCCCATATCGGACAGACTGCCAAAGTCTTGTTGCTGTGGAAACATAGTTACTTCAGATGCAGAAGTGGCTGCTCGAGGAACGCCCTAAATTTTTCCTTGGTTTGTCTTGATTGCCTGTGTTTTTTTTTGATGCAAAAGGGCTGTTGAAGCCAATGTTGTGTGTTTGTTTGTTTTTTTTTTTCTTTTACAAGGCTCCCCAAAGAAAAAAAACAAGGCATCAAGACGCGAGGGAAAATAAAGAGTACGTAAAGGAGAGTAGGCCCAGAACTGTGCTTGTTTTGTATTTGCCTCCTCAACCCCCTGCAGGTGTGAACTCATAAAAAAAAAAACATGAAACAAAAAGCAGTCATCTGACCAGTTGCCTCGTCTTTTAAGGGCAGTCGCCTCTCTCTCTTCTTTTTTTTTTCTCGTCTACTTCTTCCCTTGCTCTCCCTCACGCTTTATTTTATTTTGAAAACGTCATTTACCAAATATTTTGTTATTAATTTCATACTAGCTAGCGTTTTTTTTTGTTTTGTCTTCTGCTCCCGCCTCCTCCTCCTCCTCCTTTGTGGTTATTCGTATTATCCCACCCAGGTGCTCGGAGGCGTTGCTCCGCCCCCGTGCGCATTGATATCAAATCAGCCACATGTCATAGACACGTGTGCATGTACACACATACGCATGCACGTAGGTGCAACAACAAAGATGTATGGGTGGGGTCTCGCTTCACTATCCGTCCAACGTTCCCTCATCACTGTTGTGTGTTGATGCAGAGTGTTGTCCTCCTCGCGCACGCAGCAGGCATCCATGCGCGGCCACACCGTCTAGCACCTTCCACTCTGCACGCACGAGGAAGACCCGGTTGACACCGGCCGCAAAAAAAGGGGCCTACGACCCTCCCAGACTGCGACCGGGGTTGAGAGAGAAAGAAAGGAAGACGCGGCGAAACCGAAGACAAAAAAAAAAAAAGAAAAAAAAAGGATTGAAAACAATAAAAATAAAAAAAAGTCGTCAGACCTATCCAAACAAAAAAAGACACCGTCGCTGATGATGAAAGGAAGGATTGGAGTCCAAAGCTACGCCTCGTCCCTCCCAAAGAAAAAAATAAAATAAAAAAGCAAAAAACTAAAAAAAAAAAGCTTTTCTGAGAGGGTAAGCACCTAAACATAAACCTCACGTACACGTGTAACGGTGCGGCACGAAATAAGCGTTGACGTGCAATGCCACCAAAGACATAAAGTCACATACTTCTGTTGTTGTTGTTTTCACTCTTTTTCCCCCTTCTCCTTCGTACTACTCGTGTCTGCCCCTCACCCTCCCCCACACTTCGCGGGAGTACCCACAATAAGAGGTGTAGCCGCTCGAAGAAAAATACGAACAAGAGGTACACGTCCGTGTGAATGGCAAATTGTTTTTTTATTCCACACTCCTCTGGGGAGCAAGAAGAAAGCACGGGTGGGGAGTGCGTGCAGTCACGTACACGGGGGGTGAGAGAACAAGAAAACGAAAAAATTTGTTTCACTACTGCGTCTGCGTATTTTCCTTTCTTTGATGCCGTCATGAGAGCACCGTCAAGAGCCGACACGTGGGGGAGAGGGACTAAAGGAGGGAAGGAGGGTGAAGGATTACAAGGAAATGCTGGCTGTGATACAGTGGGAAAAACGGCCCCCATACCTCGGAAAGAAGGAGGTGAAGAAGAAGAAAAAAAAAAACGGAGGCACGCTCATGACCGTTCAATAATAATAATAAAAAAAAAACACTGAAGCCAATACAAAATAATAAAAAAAAGGTTGCGACAGAAAGATCGCATGCCGCGTAGGTGGGGCTCACACCCACACCACGCATCCGCCTACGAAAAATAAAAAATGCATTGTGCGATACGCACTCGACTTCTTCTTCAACAGCCTTATTTCTTTCTCGTTGATTTGTCCTTGTTGCCTCGCAGCACTTCCTTTATGCCACCTCACGCTCTCGCTCGCTCTCGTCATCACCTTACTGGTGCAATCCTTCACACCCGCCCTACGCACAATGCATGGGTGCCCGTGTGAGACTCGCTCCCCCATTACTACTACCACATGCGCGCTGTCTGCATGGACAACCATATTTTTGCCCTCTCCCGCCTTTTCTCGTTTTCCTTCCACGTTTGATCAAAAAAAAAATATGAAAATGATGCAACTCCACACAAACCAAGTAAAGAAAAAAACACAAAAATAAAAGCAGAGACGCTTCTTCTTCACAGAGGTGGTGCGCGGAGTAAATAAATAAAAAACCATAGCGCCGCATAAATCAGACACGCACCACAAACACAAAGAAACAGAGTGCCCTGCACTCCGTTCATGCCGCAAAAAAAAAAACACCCAAAAGGAACCCAACGCAAAGAGCACAGAAAAAGTAAAAAAAAAGGCGCCAACAAATAATTTATGTTGAAATTCTTTTACGTCTCCTTTTCGCTCCTCCGTTATCCCTGCTTCCCTGCTTCCCTGCGTCAGTAACCTATAATCCAAAGGTAATCGTCCATACAAACACCAACAAATAAGGAGGTACATGCACATAAGTACTTAAAAAAGAAACAAACGCCGTCCCCACATATTTCACCCGCTCTCAGTCCCGTCTCTCCTTATACCACAGAAACACAATAAAATGACAACTGGATCACCTCTTCTCGCGTGTTGCCCAGGAATTAATTTCATCTTTTTGTCTGTTCGCGAGAAAGGGAAAGTTCGTGCGTGTGTGCGTACGTGCACAGCCGTCATTTACAATCTACACGACTCAAACACACAAATAGTCCAGCAAAAACATAAAAATAAAAAAAACAGGGAGGAACGCTGCGATGTGCTTAAAGGGTGGCAGCAATGGGTAGTAATCCCCCCCCCCTTTTTTTTTTCCGTTCCCCATCCCAATAAGAGCAGTTGCGTTATTCCACTCCCCTATCCTGCTGCTTTTTGCTCCCAGTGATGGCAAAACGAGAAAGAAGGGTGAACACAAGACACATGAACACACTGGAGCAAAAAGGATGAGGCAGTAGAGTTAAAGAGGATAGAGTGAGCCGGTTACCTCTGCGTTCTTGCCCAACCTCAGACGCTCGCGCATTTACATGGGAACCAATATGTAACTGCTGTCGTTGCCTTTTGTCCACCTGCGTGGCAGTGATAACGACAGGTTCCGGTTTTTTTTCCGTTTTTTTTAATAGTGTGTTTTCTTTCCTTTATCCACCGCCGCCCACCAAGGTGGAGGCCCCAAGAGACGTGACGCCGTCGCACTATGCGGGATTGAAAAATGAAAAAGAGTTGAGTTTATCCCCAGCTCCTCCGCCCCGCCGCCCCGACGACAGCGCCCTTGGCCTCACTATATATATATATATATATATATGTGGACTGATACGTGCACACTACGAAAGACACACAGCCAGGCCCACGTGTACGGGGGAACAACAACACAAGAAAGAAAAACGGAATTTTAGTGAACGGACAACAAATAAATAAAATAAAATACACGTAATTCGCTCCTCCACTCACAACAACATTATCTAACACAATTGCCTCGCTTTACATCACTCTGTATATATATATATATGTATATATATTCGAATCCATTTACCATCACTGCACGCCCTCGTTCCGCAATCTCCACTCTCACTGCAGTTCGTTACTACTCCCTACAAACTAAGCCGTTCACGCAACAACCCCCCACCCCCCACGTAAATCTTTTCACGTTAAAAAAAAAAAAAAATGGAGGAAGTGAAGAGGAAAACAATACCAAAATAAAATAAAAAAAGTCATGGAAAACAGATTACTCCATTTTCCGTCTCTGTTTCGGTAAATTCTTATTGCCGTGTCAAGAAGAAAGCACGGCAAGCACGAGACAAATACTCATATAATTTCTTCATATATTATTTTGTTAGTCTCGTTTCGTTTTGTTTTGTTTCGCCTTTTTGTATGTGTGTCTCTGAAAAAAAAAAAAAGAAGTTAGGAGTGGAGGGGAAGGGGGAAGGGGGAA